TGCGGGGGCTTCAAAGGACGTTTTAGGACAAGTCAGACAAAAAAAGAAATGGATCATAAATAATTGAGAGCCGAGGCTCAGCTTTCATGTTCCTTCCATCCAGCCCAGAAGGAAAGAGACCTCAATCCCCTTCTGCAGGGCCAGGAATGAGGCCCCTGGGTGAGATCTGGGGGCTCCTTGCCTTTAATTAGCCCTCCCCTTGAAGCACACCATCCTCATCCTCCCTCCTCCGCCACGCAGCCCGAGGCAGCTCACGCCCCCGGCTCCAGCACATCGGAAAGGTTTTGGGGAGCAGGAGATGCTGCTGCCTGCCCCCCTCATCCAGTAGGGGCCAACCCTAAAACTGGGGGTCCAGAGCCCCAGAAGTTTAATAGCCTTGATGCCAGTAGGGCATTATTTGCCCTGCAAAGTCCCAAATCCCTCCTCTCGGTCACAGCAAACTCCCCCAGCAGCAAGCTCCCAACCCGTGTGGATGCTGAAATTTTCTTACCAGTCCCACTTTGCCACATCCCCAGTTAGCAGGGAGCTTCAGAAAAGGCAATGCCAAGCCCACTCCCCCCCAAAATAACTCAATAAATTCCCTGTGCCCCATTTTAAAACCACCAAGGAGGAAACGAGTGGCTGGAAGTGAGCGGAGATGAGCATCACCTGGGCACCGCGAGCCCCTGCTGCCGCCCCCGGCCCAGCGCCCTCGTTGCCTCGCCTGGGAGATTTTGAAGCAAAGTCTGAGCATCTGAAGCGCCAGTGTCTGCCTCGCTCGTATTTTTAACATAGCTTCACACGGAGCCATCCCACACACATCTGTCCCCCCTCTGCACATGCTCACATTCACCCGTGTGCCCAGCCCCGCCGCCCACGCTGGCCGTACAGCCACACGTTTCCATTTATAATGCACCCAGTCACGCACAAACCCCCCCCGTGTTCGTCCTGCCACACACAAGCTTGGGGACGTGCATTTTGCACTGCCCCCCATCCCCACCCTCTTCCAAAAATCCACCTGAAAGGACCAACAAAGTCCTCCGGTTCCCTTCCAGCATCATTTTGCTGCCCCCGCCCAGCCCCTTTCTGCCTCCAGGAGCACAGGGAAAAGGCCGGAGCTCCAGGAATGAGCTGGGGAGGCAGAAGGAGAGCTCGAGGGGGGGAAATATTGCAGGAGCTGGAGGAATTCCCCAGCCCGCTCCATGCAGGAATGCAAACGGGAGGAGCTGCCCAATTTCACGGTGACTGGTGAGGGCTTAATAACAGCTAAGCAATGCAGGCACTGGCAGATGTGTGAGCAAAAGCAGCGCCAGCAAATAGGATTTCGTTGTCTCAGGAAGGGACGCTGCGCTGCCTCCACGTCCCTTCCCATCTGGAGCGCGCGGTCCCGCTCAGAGCCTGGGTTCCTTAAGGAAGGAAAACCTCTTCTGCCCCAGCACAGAAACCCAAACCCAAGGCCTGAGTGAGATCCTCATCCCCACATGGTTGTATTGGGCTCGAGGCTCGCCTGCTGCACACGGGTGCAATTCACAGCCACCCCCGTGGGTTGCGTGTCCAAAACCCAAAATCTGCGCCCGGCACAGCCACAACCAGGGCTGGGCACGGGGCTGGGGCAGCAGCTCCCATGGCTGCCCCTGCGCTGCCTTCCTCTGGGCATCGGGAGGAGGAAAAATCTCCATGGCAACTGAGGACAGCCGTGACCGCGACGCCGCCGAGCACATTTGGGGCTGAGCCATGCACCGCGGACCAGGCACACCGCAAACGGCTGCGGACCTGGAGCGAGGAGGGGTGGTGACCTCGAGCTGCCCAAATTTTGCAGCAGGGAACTTGGGCAAGGCCCTGCAGGGAGCTGGGGCTGGACCCTGACCCCATTTCCTCACCCCCCAGCCCAGCCCTGGGTGGGTGCCGGGCTCGAGAGGCGGCTGCGGGGAGCTGAGCCCACGCGCTGCACCCCCAGAGCTGGAGGGGCCCCGTCTCCCACCCAGAGCCAGGTTTCTCTCCACAATTCATGGATAAAGAATTGTTGATGCATAATGGATGGCCATCGGAGCAGGAGGAGGAAGGAGGGGAGAGAACAACAGAGCAAAGGAAACGGAAGAAAAAGAGGTTGAGATGTTCGGGTCTCCCTCCTCTTCGCCCCAGGTCCTACATTTTTCTATGGCATCTAGGAATCCTTTACACCCTAAAGCCTCCAAAACTCCCTGCCCTCCTCGGCACTGCTCCGTGGGCTCTTTGGCCCGGGCTGTCCCCAAGGTCTGGCCGTTAGATGGGGACAGAGCCCCACGGCGCTGCTCCTTGCCTGCCCCTTCCCGCAGCCATCCCGCACAGGGGAGCGAAGCCAGATGCTGGGCCAGGCTTCATTTCTTCCTGCAGCTCTAAGAGGATTTTCTTGGTAGAAACAGCAGCTTTGCTGATTGCAGAGATGAGCGATATTCCCAATGGCCAGGCAGGAAATCCTGCACCAGCCCCAGCAGCCCTGGGGGAGGATGGATGGGGGGTCCCCAGGCTCCGCTGCCCATGCTGCCACCACGTGCCATCTTTGCCTGCCAGGGACAGCACAAGGACACGTTCACACGGCCGATGGAAGTGACTTCAGTTCCCCAGCACCTCACTGGTCACCAGCATCCGGCAGGGCTGTGAGCAGTGGGGGACCCTCAGCTCCCTCCCGCTGTGCTGGGGGCTCTCCAAACCCCGGCAGCTCAGGAGAAAGCCAAGGAGCGTGCCAAGGAAGTTCAGCAGCCGGACAACAGAGATGAGTTATCATGGGATGATCAGAGGCAGAAGCTGACAGTTGAAAGGGAAGGAGATGTGCTGGGGTGAGCAGGGAGAGGTCACGAAAAGCCATCAGAGTGAAAAGCAGCCGCTGATTTTCTTTCCTTTTTTTTTTTTTTTTTTTTTTTTTTTTTTTTTTTGGTGCTAGGAGGAAGAAAGGCGGCAGAGAGGCACAAAGGGAAGGGCAATGCAGCAAAATCAGTCAGGCCAAAAGAGCCACCTCCACAGCAGCACCCAGCACGGGCGTGCTTGGGGCAAAGCAGTGCCAAGGTCGAGCACTGTGCTGCTGGAGGCAGAAGTCCAGGAGATCCCAGAGCCGGGCTCTCGAGGGACAGGAAAAAGCAGAGTTCTGGCATATTGTGAGCAAAGAAAAAAAAAAAAAAAAGGAGGGGAGGTGGCTGTTAAGATTAAGACACGGTGGATGGGAAAATGCAAGGAGCAGGCTGAGTCACGGCTAACACCTTGCTCATGGGTAAATGCCACAGCTCAGCTCAGAGCAGCAGAGCGGGGTTGTCTGCAGCAACCAAGAAAGAAAGGAGAAAAGTAGGGTAGAGGACTCGGAGGCAGGGATTAAATATTATTTAGCGTGGCTGTGCTTGAGCTGGTGGCTAGACAGCCACCAGGAGACAGCACAGAGGCAACCCTGAGCCATTAGCGGGGATGCAGCCGGAGCGCAGACCCTCGCTGCTCCTCCCAGCGCCCCTGCTCGAGGTGGAGGAAGGATGGGGGTGATTTCTCCAGGCCCTCAAAGTCCCGAGGCAGAGCTCTGCCTGCTCGGGGGGATTCGCTCCCACCACAGCATCCAGCTCGCGAGGAGGGGTCACCATGGGAGGATGCGGGGAGAGCCCGTGAATCACACAAAGCACGGGGCAGCCACGCGGGGAAGGCTCAGGGGGTGGAAATGCCTAAAAGGAGCGAGTTTGAAGGCTATTTCTGGTGCAGAAGGAACCAGAAATCTGGGTCAGAAGGGATAGGAGAGACGTCAGTGGCATGGGGGAGTGAGCAAGCTGCACTGCTCCAAACAGAGCGGGGCTGAGGTGCCCACAGCCAGCGGCTCGGCTGTGCCCCAGCGCAGAGCCCAGGACCCCAGGGACGTCCCCAGCCAGGGCTGAGGACCCTGCGCCACCTCCAGCAGCACCCAGTGAGTGCCCCAGGAGGGCCAAGTGGCAGCAGCTGGGGCTGACGAGCTCCGTGGCAATCGGCAGGGAACAGGAGCATCGCATGAGGCTTTCTGCTCGCTTCCCACTGACTCTCTGATCTGGACTTGGCAATTCAAGTGCTGTTGATTATCCCTCCTGCCATACAAAAGAAGGTTCTTGGCAAAGGTTCCCAGAAAACTTGGGTTCATCCCAGTACAAATGAGGAAAACTTTTGAAAAGTCAAAAAAATGCACAAGGACAGGAGAAGAAAAAAAAAAAAAAAAAAAGAAAAAAAAAAGATCTTTTCCTGAAAAGCTGAAGCTCGATGACTGTATCGCTCCTCTTCCCTACGAGGGTGGCAGCATTTTCCTGCGCTCATGGTACATTCTCTGTTTTACAGCGTAAAAATACCTCCCCACCACCCTTCCCAGCTGGCCGCAGGTACCTGAGGGGCTGTGAAGGTGCCCCCCATGGTGGGGGGGCAGAACAGGAGCCAGGCACGGTGCAAGGGGGGGGCTGTGAGCTCAGCACCCAGCACCAAGGCTGGGGCTTGGCTCAGCCCAAGGAGGCTGCACAAAGGGCAGGGCTCGCTCCTCCCTGCTGCCACAGCTCAGCACTGGGGAGCATCAGCTGAAAAGGGCCAGAGCTTAAAAAAGAAAAAAAAAAAAAAAAAAAAAAAAACAGGCTTAAAAGCCACCCCAGATAAGTGTGGGAATGCCAGCAGGGCGGGAGGACAGGCACTCATGCTGCTGACCCTGCTGGCTCCCTGCGTACATCTAAGCCACAGAGGCCTTCCCAATGTGGTGCTGGTTAGGATAGAAATGCCAATCACATCCCCCTTCAGCCTGATCTTATCAGGGCTGGGCTTGCCAGCCGGAGCTAATTAAATCCTGGATGCAGTCACTGCTTAAGTGAAAGTTTGTTTCCTGCAGTAGCAGAGCCAAGGATGGAGGCAGCCTGCGCTTTCTTCTATCTGGCAGGAACATCTGCCACAGCCAGCTCACGCTGCTCCTACCTGCTCACGGCTGCGTGCACAGGTCCAGCACCAGAGCCCCCTCCTCGGGTCTGCCCAGGCTGAGCCCCCCCCCCCCCCCAGTGCTTGCAGGAGGCCGATAACGCGGGCGAGAGGCTGCAGGCAGCGGCTGCTGCGGTTCCGGAGGTGCTGCCTGGGGTTGCGAGGTGCTCGCTGCTATCAGCAGCCACCAGGTCCCTCAGTGAGAGCCCAGGGGGGTGCCAGAGCTTTGCATTTTGTCACTCTGTGTGCAGCACAGGGATTGCAGAAGCGACCAGGACCCCAAAAGCGAAGAGGCTGCGGCGCGTGGCTCTGGGTGACCTGGAGGACACCCACGGGCTGTGCTCCACCAGCCGGACACATGGGGCAGACCCACAGAGGAATCTTTGCTTTGCCTTCCAGCAGCAGGGACTGGCAGAAGGCAGCCAGGAAAAGCAGCTTCCACCCCTTCACCCCTTGTCTTCAGCAGCAGAGGAAGAAGGAAAACAGAAGAAAGAAATGGGAAGAGGAGACGGGGGCACCAAAGCGCCGTGTTCCTGCCCCACGGGGGCCATCCCCAAACCCCTCTTCCCAGGGCCCATCAGCAGCAGGAGAAGTCACCCAGGCTGCTGCAGCACACGCTGTGCTGGGAGATCTTTACCGCAGGACAGGAATTTATCAAAGCGCTGTTTGAAATCCGGGGAGGCTCCGGTGCAGCAACACGATTCTTCTCTCCTGGTTTCCTCCAGCTAATTTCACCTGCTCCTCATGTGGCTGCTGCTTTCAGCGGGCTTCAAAAGGCATCACAGCTTTAAAATGTTGGGGAAACCTCCCTAATCTACCTTCCAGATTGCTAAATCCTCGTAGTCCTACAAAGCAGGCATCCTGGGCTGCCTCCCAGGCATTAACCCAGCAGCCAGAGCCGATCCCCTCGGCATGGGGAGCGCGATGCTTTGCAGCTAAGAGGAGCTGATCACGCAGCTGAAGCGCTGACGGAAAACCCGATAGCCAGGGATCCAGTCCCATCTGCCATATGCTTCCCTCTGGGACTCTTCATCTCTATTTTTGGGCAATTCATACTTGCCTGCCTGTGAGGGAAAGTGGGTGGCGGGGAGGCTACCACAAGCTGTTGTGCTTCGCGGGGCTTTTTTAGCGTTCTGCGGGAAGATGGGGACCAATCTGCAGGATAATGGGAAAATGGGACAGCCTCGTCCCGAGGCACGGCTGCTCCACACGGTCTGGGTGAGGCCAGGACCCATCAGGACCCTCACAGCTGCCAGGGTTTTGTCCGGCTCCATGCAGTGATGTGACCAGAACCCAGCCCGTTCTTCCCAGAGAGCTCAAACAGGGGAAAAGCGAGGGCATAAAGGGAAAACCGGCTGCCATTCTCCCACCCTGAGTTCAACCTGCCTAGAAACGATCTCCCTGCTAAGATAAGCCCACTCCATGCCCCTTGAGCACAAAAGATGCAGCGAACAAATCGCATTCCTGGGGTGGATGGGCCTGAAGTTGGAGCCCATGGCTTTTGGGGCAGGGGGGCTCACCCCTTGCATTGGGGATGCAGCAGGGAAGCCCCATCCCTGCGCACACTGCACACCCATTTTGCCCACCTGTGGGCAGATTTGGGGCAGGAGGGGTGGGCAAGGACCCCCCCTGCACCCCCAGGGGCAGCGTGCCCAGGGGGCTCTCCCTCACCCAGCACCCCAGGGTGACGGATGCCATCAGCCAAGGACGGAGCTGGAGCTGTCTGTGCTCCATACACAGGTGCCTTCCCTTCCTCCAGTACTGGGATCGGGGGGAAGCGGGATGGGAACAGCTCCCGGGGAGGGGGCACGGGAGGCTGGAGCCAGCAGGAGTGGAGGGAGGAGGCAGGGAGGAATCCCAGGATGCCTCGCTGCCGGGTTCACGCTGAGTGGAATTGCTGGCAATTTTGCAACAGAAAAGCAATTTATATGAATCCTGGAAAAAAAAAAAAGAAAAAAAAAAAAAAAGAGAGAGAGCCCAGCAGCACGGCAGGAGGGGAGGAGTGGGGCCAGGGCTGGGCGAGGGACCCCACGACAGTGCCTGCAGGCAGGGGGGGGTCAGGGCTGGGACCCTCACCCATGGCTCATGGTCCCCCACCAAACCTGGGTGCACAGCCCATACCATATGAGCCCAGGTCCAGAGGTGGTCACAGACCTCGTTACAGCCAAGGAGCGCACCAGGTGCATTGCCAGGCTCCGTGGTAAGAAACAAAAAGTTCGTTAACTACACAGAGCAGCTAAATGTGGTGGAAGTTACCCCCAAAACCTTCAGCTGGCAAAGCCCAAAGCCATGAAGGTGCTCACAGGGCATGGGGTGAGCCTGGATCAGCGCCGTCCCCAGCCCCTGCGCCGAGCTGATGCTAACAGCCAGGCAAGCGAGGCTGCAGAGAGGCAGAGGGAGGGCGTTTGCTGAGCCCAGAACCCGCTGGAATGGCAGATTTCGGATATTCTGCACAGAAACCGACCTGTTTGATGGCTGCTCCTGTTGCCCTGGAGACACCACGGGCCGCAGCGTTATTTATGTTTTTCCAATGACCAAGACAGCGCCAGGATGATATGGCTCATTGATTTCCCTAATGAAAATCTTGGTGAACCATAATGCTGGACCACAAAATTGTGGTGGATCACACAAGCCAAAGAAGAGCTGGTAGGAGCTGCAGTTACGGTCAGAGGGATGGAAAGCGGGACCTTCCCCACCCTCACTCGGAGCCAGGGAGTGCCACAGCGGGTCCACAGGGGCTGCTGCTCCTCTGCTGGTGCTAGGATGCTTGGCATCCCCCAAACCAGGGCACTTTAAGCATTTTTTTCCTATTAATGGTGGAAACCGCTAGAGAACCAAGCGTTCTCATCCCTCCACCTGATGCTTTGATAAAAAACACGTGAAACACGGGGTATAAAGATCCCAAATCCCAGTAAACCAAGCTCATCACCACAGGGGTGCAGGGAGAAGGGGCGGGGATGCCAACCCCCTTAAATATCAATAATTACCATGACTGAAAAATACACATTTTACACATATACTTAAGAGGCCTGGAAGAATAGAGGGGTGGGTGTGGAAAAACTCCAAATTTCTTCTCCCAAATTATCAGCAAACTGCCTCCCGCAAAGCTGACAGTCAGAAACAAAACAATCATTACACCACCGACTGCTGACGGGAGGGAAGAGATCCGTCAGACGGGTCTGCCATTAAATATTAAACATGCAAATGGGAGCTGCAGCCTAACGAAGGGCAGAGCCAGGCATCAGCACCCGGACCTGGGGTAGGAGCCAGGCGGCTCCGGGCAGCCACAAGCAGGAGAGACGCCAGGGGCAGAGAGGAGCTCAGAAACTGGGCCAGAAGGAAAACGGAGCAGTGAAGTGGGGAGAGCTGCTGGGAACGGAGAAATCCTGGATAAAGCAGGCAGAGAACAAGCCTCTCCTGCTCCCAGGGGCTGACCTCAGGCTTAGATAATGCTGAGGAACGGATCGCCTGGGCTGGCAGGTCCCAGGGCTGCGAGGGATGAGGGTGGTGGCAGCCGGAGACCTGCAGTCACCCGGTTGTCCTCTGCTCTCCTCGCCCACTTCTCCTCTGCCTGGAGCCACCTCGGAGCACACCCGCCATGGCTCATCCCCGTGGGGACACCTCTGCACGGGACAGGTCTCTGTGCCAGCAGCTCCTCAGCCTGGGCATGGATGGATGGGGCACATCTTGCGGCACAGCCCAGCCCCACAACGAGCAGCTCTGCAGCGAGCACTCCCCACTTGTGCTGCATGAAGGCACCACCTCACCAAGCCTCTCAGGTCCCCCACGGGACACCCAAACAGGGACCAGAACCATGAAAAATCTCATCCCAGCCCTGCTGCTTTGTCTGACCCCGCTGTCAGAGCTGAGCCTGTCCCGCAGCACCGGCTGCCGGTACCGGGAGCCTCGGGTCTGAGCGCAGGGAGGCCAAGGGAGGACGTAATGAAAGTCCTCAAACACAGAAAGGGCATCAGCAGAGGGAACGAATAATCTGTTCTTCACGTCTGCTGCGGAAAGGACAAGAAATAATGGGCTTAAGCTGCAGCAAGGGAGATTTTGTCTGGATGGGAAGAGAAACTTTCTAATAATAAGGACTATTAGAGCCCTGCAATAGACAGCCCAGAGACGCAGTGGGATCTCCATCACTGGAGGCTTTTAAGAACAAGGCAGACAAATATCTGTCAGAAATTACATAGGAATACTTGATCCTGCCTTGGGGCAAGGGATAAATTAAATTACCTTTTAAAGTCCCCTCCAGCTCTCCTTTCCTGCGGTTCCATGGTAGCGGTGTCACCAAAGGCTGTGTGCCTTTAAGGAAGAGCCATCTCCCTAAGAAAACAAGCACATCTATCACCAGAAAAGTGCTGTCATTAGCAAAGCTAACGAGAGCAATGTGCAGAGGTGAAGACCCCCGAACCCAGGCGCAGAGGAGCGGGATTGATGGGCTCAACAGGGGACCGGTCACCCCTCGAGGTGGGGCACCAGCTCCCTGCGAAGGCGGCTGGGAGGAGAAAGCAAGCTCCTGGAGGGACAGACTGGTGGGTTAGCAAAGGACTTTGGGTGGGGAAAACCACTAAGGAAAGGTTTTTTTAAATTATTTTTACATCAGCATTAGCATTTTTGGGAGACATCTGGCTCTCACTGGCTCCAGTGACACCGTTTCTGAGCTCTGCCACGGCGCACCAGGAGAGCCACAGACGAGCTCTGTCTGCACGGGGAGAGGCACCCACACGTGAGAAGAGCCCCCCCGGAAACAAGCAGGACCCATTTGCAGTTCAGAGCACCGAACGATGCTGACAGTGTCAGAATTTCCCTTCCCAAAGCTGAGCTCTCCCCATGCCAGCCACTTAGCACAAATCAAGGCGAGTTAGACCCAAGCCCCCCGTAACCTCTGCTCCCCCCCAGTCGGCACGGGGTGCAGGTCTGCCGTTTGTTTTGGGGTTTCGGAGTGGTTTACGGCCACTCGCAGACAGCGGGGCTGCAGCCGGCCCCTCTCACCCAGCTGACGTCTCCGTGCCGCCCCGATGCCGTCATGCAATAAATCTGCAGCGGTCTCTGCAGACAGAGCCAGACATGAGAGAGGTTGGGCACAGCTTCCCGTGAGCCCCCCTCGTGGGTCTGGGCCCTGGGGGATGCCCAAGGAGCCGGGGAGGGCAGGGGGCTGGCGGCTTACCTGTGGTCCAGGAGCAAGTCCCTGGGAGAGCTGGCACAAGACCATGAACCGCTGCCCTCGCTGCAGGCTGACAGCAGCCCCCAGCTGGGACTGACCTGGGGGACAAAAGCCAGCATCGAGCACAGGACTCCTGTGTGTCCAAGAGCTTTGTCCAAGAGCCTCCACAAAGAGCTGCTGATGCCCCAGACCGGGTGAGATCCAGGGCAAAAAAACGAACAACCCTACCCAGGACCTTTCTGGGTCTCACCCATATGGGTGGTAGCAGCACCTCAGCCAAGCCTTGCACAGCTTTGGGCAGCTGGAGGAGCTCACAGCCTGCCAGCCCCAGCTTTTCTCCCCAGTTAGAGCCTCGGCCACAGGGAGGACACGGGACACCCAGCCAGGCCGAGAGGTTCGGCAAGGCTGGAGGAAGGAAACACGCTGAGCACAGCCCACGCTCACCCAGGAACCTCAGGGATTTCAAAGCAAAGCCAGGAGCAGGGTGCTGGCGTTGTCACCATTTTCAGAGGGAAGGGAAGCTGATGGGGTAGGTGGCATATGGTACCAGCCTCCCAGCCACAGCCCCCTCCCCTCGGCAGCCCTACACAGGCAACCCAATCAGTGTGACCTACAAATTAGCTTCTAGACCCACTTTATGCTAAGTGGGTAGGAATACAACAGACCCTGGCAAGACTTCAAATTAGGGCTGCCAATTAATGGTCCTCTCGGGGCTAATTAAATATTACTTTCCATAGCACTTTTCCCCTCCCCTAAATACTTCCAGACTCAATTCAACGCAGCTGCCCGGGGCAGGTGGCAGCAGCCACGGCACAGGGGGGCACGGGGGTACCCCAGGTACCAGCAGCTCTGCAGCCATGGGCTGAACATGGGCTGAAGCGATTTGATTTTGGAGTGACCAGAGGGTGAGCTGGCCTTGCAGGGATTTCAATCGATGCTTCCTTGAAGCCAAGAGCTCGCAGCTCCTTCTGCTTTGACCCTGGTGCTCCTAAGGGTGTGAATTACGCAGGGGAGCGTGGTGCATCCTCAGCTGTGCAGATCAGCAGGTGGCAATGCAGGGTCCTGATGAAGCAAGGCAGCAACACCTGCGTCTTTAACCCTGCCATCACCCACGCACCCAGCAGTGGCTTTGTCCTCATCCCAGAGTCTTTCTGACCCAGTTTTGGGGTCTCGGCAAGGCCAAGCACACACCAGGCAGCCACATGAGGAGACCTCAGGGACCCCCCCCCACAATATCATCAGTGGTTCCCCTTCACACCAGCCTCCTGTCAAGGACGACAAGGCTTGGGAAATCAGAGAAAACCCAAACCTGCCGGCACCTCCCAAAACCAGAGATCCCAGCACGGGGGCAGCGAGCTGCTGGGAGCAGCCGGCTCATGGGGGCTGGAGAGCCTGCCGTGCCTCAAAGCCCTTCACAAGTAAGAAAATGGAAACTGGGAGCAGGGAGGCTGCATCTCCGAGGATTCTGAGCTACCCGAAGGTGCTGAGAGTAGGGTTTGCCAAAGACACCAGACACCATGCTCGCAGACAGCCAAGTGCCATCACAGTCCTGCGGTTACACCTACAGGCACCCAGCCTGGCCAAAAACGATGGGAGCTCCAGTGGAGCAGTAGCTCCCCCGGCTAAAGGTGTGCAACACACACACAAGTCTGCGGAAAGCCCGAAGCTCCAAGCAGAGAGGGGCTTTGGGTATTTTTTTTTTAAGCACATTTGGATCTCAAAAGCTGCAACAGGGCAGAGAGTGGAGCTAGTGCAAGGAGGCAGAACCAGGCGAAGCGGGGTGGGAGATCCTTCCCCAAGCTCCCGTGTTCCTCAGGTTCAGCTCTGGAGACCAAGCAGCCCCCAAGACCCCCCAAGGAAGGGAGGAGATGGGCACTGGCGGAGACTGCAGGTGAGCAGAGGGCACAGTCCCGGAGCTGGCAGCCGGGGCTGCTGGCTGGTGCTCAGTCACTGAGAAAATATCAAAAGGGTGGTGGCTGGGGGGAACACAGGAAAAAAAAAAATAGAAGAAGAAGAAAGACTGATAGATGAGAAAACATCTCAGCTGGTACAGCCGGCCCCCAAGCCCCAGGAGAGCATCAGCTACTGGGCTTCTCCTCCCGTTCCCATGGCAACACAATTTGGTGCTCTTTAGAAGAGTGCGCTCCCTCCGCTTCCCCCCAGTTAATTTTATTTCGTGTTTTGAAATAAAAGCGGTTGATATGGCCTTTGTCTCAGGAGCCCCGTGGGGGAGAGAAGGGAGAAGATCAGCCGATCTGGAGGGGCTGCAAAGGGGAAGGGGGGCCTGGACCCCCTCGCCCCCAGCTCAGCCCCCTGGCAGCAGCTTTGCTGGGCACACTGGTGGTCCCAGGCTGTGGCCATGAACCCCGAGGTGGTCTCATCGCTTGGAGGTGATGGGTGGGAGGTCCCAGCCCTTCCCTCTCTGGCCTTGAGAGCACCCCAGGAGCCACCTCAGCTCCCCCTGGGCCAGCTCAGTCCCACCACGCTCCTTGAACCCACCCCCCCCGACCCATGCAGGGCAGACCCATCTCTGGCTGTGTATTTGGGGTGCTCGCCCCCAGCACCCACAAATACGAGTGACCACCCCCAGGGACCCTGCTCCCACCCAGCAGGGCAGGGCACAAAGCAGCGGGCCCAGCACCAACACCCTGCGTGCAACAAATGAACCCAGGGGTGCAGCCCTGAGCCCCCCTGCACCAAACCCCTTCCTCCCCCCAACACAGCCAGAATCCGTGCGGGGAAGGGGCTGGGGGACACAGAGCCAGCACAGAACGAGCTCAAACTGCAGTGATGGCTGCACAGAGCAATCCTTTGCCCACCCTACAGGAACACCCTACAGCCCCCCCTCCCCAGGATCACCCCCAGGATCCTGCCCAAATCCCTGCGCACGGCCACGGAGCAGGGGATGGAGCTCGGCCCGAGGCTGCTCGGCTCGCTGCAGGCTAATGAGCGGGAACACATCTGTTGGTTGCTAACAGTAGGGCTGTTTGGGAATGTTTTGATTAAACATTTTTCACAGAAAATTCCAACTCGTCGAGAATGAATTCATTTGCCTGAAATAATTGGTCCGGATATAAGTTTTCCAGTTAAAGGAAAAGGACTGAAGAAAAACACGGTGGGATGCGGCTTCCTTTAAACCACAGCACATTTTATTTCACGATTTAAATTACAGGCGAAGAACATCAGAACATCAAGTCAATATTTTGAAGTGCTAGCACCAGAGATGCTGCAGCAGCCGGGTAGCTCTGGAAACTTTCCCCCAGCTCTGGAGAATAAAAGTTGAGTTTTTACCCTGCCCAAGACAAGGAAAATGTGTGGAAGCCTCCGTTCTCATGGCAAAGCACTGGCAGCAGCCTCTGCCCCCGGGGCAGCCTTGCCTGTGAGGGGGGAGCCCCTGCGGCCCCCCCAGACCTGCTGCCAGCAGCCGTGTGCCCAGGGCAAAGGGGGCTCCCAGCACCTTGCACCTCCCTGCCCAGTGCCTGGAAGCTCTCGGGTACGGTGTGGTGGAGAAAGAGGAGAGGAAAACCAAATGAACCAAAGAAAAATAAAAGAATAGAATAGAATAGAATAGAATAGAATAGAATAGAATAGAATAGAATAGAATAGAATAATAAATAAAATAAAATAAAATAAAATAAAATAAAATAAAATAAAATAAATAAAATAAAATAAAATAAAATAAAATAATAAAATAAAATAAAATAAAATAAAATAAAATAAAATAAAATAAAATAAAATAAAATAAAATAAAATAAAATAAAATAAAATAAAATAAAATAAAATAAAGACCCCCACCACGCATTTCTGGGCAGCAAAGCCCGCAGCTGTGCGAGCAGAGCCCCGGCATCCCAGCGCAGCCCGGGCTCTCCGGGCAGATATTGCCACCGTGTGGGCAGCGCTCGCCAGCACCGGCCCCAGCCCCGGCCCCGGGGGCTCAGCCCCGACCCTCGCCAGGGTCCTCCTGGGCCCGGGGCTGCGGGGACGGCCCCGAGGAGCTGGGTGCTGGATGCTCAGCGAGGACCTCAGCAGGGGAGTGACAGCCCCGGTCCCTCCTGGCCATGAAACCCATGGAAAAAAATAATTTGGGGTGAAATAAAAAACTGCTGCTGCGTGGGCAGAGGGGCTAGGCAGAGCTGGAGGGGGCAGATGCAGATAAACCTGGGGGTACACGTGTGTGAGCTGGGGTGTGTTGCCCCCCACCAAAGCCCCCAGGTGCAGGAGGTTGGTGGGGGGGCTGGGAAGGGACCTCGAGCCCCAGCATCGCCCCCCTGCCCTCCTGGTGGCCAGAAAACACGTGGGGATGCGCCTGCAGCGCGGGGACCCCGGGAAATAAGAGCTTGTTTGTTTGTTTTTGCAGCCTTTTCATTTAAAAGTTTTTATTGTTTATTAAAGGCTTTTGCTGTTTATTTGAAAATACCTTTTATTTTTAAACACACCGGTGCTGGCCTGAGCGGGGAGGGAAGGGGGTGCCAGCCACCCCTGAGAAACTCAAATGCAGGGGAGGAAAAGTGCAGGAGCTGAGCGCTGGGTGGGTTTGGGGCTCCCCCCACCAGGGCAGAGGTGGCACCAGGAGCCCTGCCCCTGCCAGTGGGCTGGGGAACTGGAAAGGTCCCAGAGCCAGCGAGGGGGTGCTGCAGAACCAGCCCCCAAAACCCCAGTCCTGGTGCAGGAGGAGAGGTGCTGGCTCTGCCCACGGGCAGGCTCCGTCCGCGTGGGACATCTGCAGCGAGGATGTGCGCAGGGTGAGCGAGGGTTATGAAATGCTTCATAAATTCAGGTGTTTGGAGCCTTGTAAAAGGGGGGGGCAGGATGTGCCCCGACACCATCTGCAGCCCAGGAACATCTGGGATTAACCAGAAAAAGCATCACCCCCCCCTTTCCCTGGCCACCCAACAGCACCTGGAGGTCAGGGCTGTGCTTCGGAGAGGCTGAGGGACACCGGGTGGCACCCAGGGGCACCCCAGGGTGCTCGGATCAGGCCCTGCCCCGGCTGCCTGGGGCTGCTGTGTCCCCCTTGGTCCCCCCATACACAACCTGGCTGGGGGGCAGTGAGGTGTGGGCAAGGAGACCCAGGGCTGTGGGGCAGCGATCCTGCAAACCACCCCTGTGGCTGTGTAGGTTTGGTTTGCAACCAAAACCAAAGGGTGCTGCGGGGCAGGGGTGTGCTGCGCCCCCCCCATCTCACACCAGGGCAGCATCCCAGCGAATTTGCCCATGGGAATTGGGGAAGGAAAGCGACACAGAGCGTTGGCACATGAAGGCAAAACAGCTTACGTGGGCCCCGGGGGGGCAGGGGGGGGGGCAGCCTCGTGAGGACAACGCCGCGCTAATGCTTTGGCAGTAAATACAACAGCAGCTTCTTCCTAGCAGCCTTTTGGTAGGCATTTGACCCAACTCCAGTCAATCTAACATCGTTACACTGCAGTTAATGTCAGTTTGAAAGTGCTTTTATAGCTGAAACACTGCTGTACTTAATGTAAACACGGGGGTTATGAGTATTCCTGCATTGACACGGGAGGTTGTGCTGATTAGCTTAAATCACTGTCATGTGGTATTAGTTAAAAGGATGTAAAAAGCAGCGTCTGAGGCTGGCCGCCGCGCAGAGCAGAGCTGGTGGAGGGAGGCCAGGGCTGCTGACACAGCTACGGCTGCAGAGCCCCCTGGGGTAGGTGCCCACCCCGCCACCAACGGGGGGCTTTTTGCAGCGGGGACAGGGTTGGGTTTGTTCTGCTGATGGAGAGGGCACGCAGCGAGCAGCGCTGCCACCAGCACCCTGCTGGGCTCAGCACAGGGGACACAGGGGCTGGGGAGGGGGACAGCTGCGTGGTCCCATCCCACGGGGGGCAGCACCCAGCCCCACAACCAGCCGGACACCATCCTGCAGCTCCAAGGGGTACCGGCACTGGACCCAAAATCCAGGGCATGGGGTGCTGGGGGTTGCACGGGGGCTTCCACAGCCCCCATCATAGCATCTCCCCGCACAGCCTCGCCTGCACCTTATCCCCACCGAGCCTTGGCCAAGCTCTCCAGCTGATCCGAGGGGGGGCAGGATCAGCCCCTCCGCAGGAACGGCCCCCTCCAAGCACCCAGACCAGCGGAGCTGTGCCTGGACCTGCAGCGGGGTGGTGGAGCAGGATGGGGGCAGGAAATATCCCCTTCCCCTGGAAAACATGGCACAAAATGTGGCCCTACGAGCACCCCAGAGCCCCCCACTGCCTGCCCCCCTCCTGCGGCCCCCACCTTCCCCTTGTCCACTGGGAAAACGCCGCAGCGTCCTTCCCCTTCCACGGCCAGGGGTTTTTGAGAACATTTATAAAGATCTCATTGTTGGAAGGCAAAATGGGATCTCCTTTCCTTTTACCTTCCAGGGCAGCCCTAACCCCTCTCCCCTTGTACAAAAACACACAGGAAAGGGGTTTCTTTTCTGCTTGATTAGATTCAAAGGGATCTTTGTCTGGGGGTAGGTAGGGAAAAGCCCTCCCCCACCTCCCTTTTGACCCTCAAGACTCTGTCTGGTTTTGTTTTAAACCAAGAGAGACAGCGCCGCACCCTTGGGACGTTAGAAATACAGGTCCTGGGGGACAAGCGTGTGGGGGGGGGCTGCTCCACTGCCCTGCTCAGCAGCTCTGGATGGGGCGACCCCGCACCCCCCCAGCTCACCAGGGCTGGAGCTGGCCTCTGATTGCAGAGGGGCTCCCCAAAAAGCCCCCCCAAAGCCTTTCCTCGCCGTTCAGATATTCCAGAAGGCTCCTAAAGGAGCCCAGCCACCAGCAGGGTCAGCCAGCAGCCACAACCCTAGGGCAGCAGCAGGGGGGGGCCCTGCCCCAGGAACTGCCCCGTCCTCCCCCCCCCCAAAAAAAAAAAAAAGAGATCACGGACCCCCCCAGCAGCACGTTGCACGTGCCCACGTGTGCTCCATGCGAGTGGCTGCGCACACGAGCACCCATCAAGTGTGCGAGCGCTGCTGCGCCCATCGCTGCGTGCAGAAAGTTGGAAACGCAGTGAAGGCAGCAGCTGCCAGGGAGCAATCCTTCTGCCTGGATTTTTCTCCCATTTAAAACAACAACAACAAAAAAAATCTATTTTGTAAACCGTGTACCTCTTCTTATCTTCACTGGCAATTAATTTCAAGGAGGGGTGTTCAATTTTGACAAGGATTCAAACATTTTAATATTTGAAGAGGGGGGAAAAAGTAGGACATTAATTATTCAGGTATTAGGCGGTATGATGACAGCAGAGCCCAAACGATTTTCTGTCACAAACTGCTATTAATGGATTTTTTTTTTTTTTCCTCCTCCACGGAAGTGTTTTGCAAAGATTCAGTACCGGCGTCGTTCCTGAAAGAATAAGTGCTGAAATGATCGTTAGACTTGTAGGAGCAGCAGGAATTAATAACAAAAATAGAGGAAATTGGAGCATACAACAGGAGCGAATCTCCACTGTAACTGCATAATTAAAAAAAAACAAACATAAAGTCTTGCAAATTGTGGAAATCTCCCCAAATCACCCCCATTCGGGGTCCCAGGCCTGCACCCCAGGGTCCCACGTCCTGACCCGCACCCCGCAGGCGGAACTGGAGGGGGGGGCACATCTTTGGGCAGCCCATTACCAACTGAAAGGGGCTTCTCCCCTGCCCCCCCCCCCAGGGCAGCACAGCTGGTCCCGGCCCAGGGTTCACAGAGTTCACACCGCCGAGATTTTTGGGAGAGATAGGGGAAAGCTGACACCCCGGGGAGCCCCCGCGGCCAGGGCGAGCAGCCGGCCCCCAACCCCACCGCTGCCTTATGGGGGGGGGGGGCAGCCAGGTGACAGCCCCCAGCCTGCCCAGGCCCCCCCCCCCCGGGATGCTGCTGGGCACTGCATTGCCCTGGCCCCCACCCCCTGTCCCCGCAGCCCCCCGATAACACCCAGGACGGCCACCAGCCACCCTTGGAGGGACACCGGTGTCCCCGAGTGGGTCTGGGGGTGCAGGAAGCGTTCAGGCACGTGCAGCCCTCTCCCCTGGGGCACCTTCCAGGGCAAGGAGTCCCACCTGGGTCAGCATCGGGAAAAACGTGAATTAGCAAGAAAAAAATACAAATATGTAAGTAAAGAATGGGGGTTATTCGGAGGATTCAGGGGAAGGAAGCAACCCTGCTCCAAAGCACCCCCATGGGGGACGCAGGAGGATGCTCACCGGGGTGGGAGGATGGCAGCACCCCACATCCCCCCCCTAACCCCCCCATGCTCTCACCGTTCCCCAGGGGCCCGAGCTGCTCCCATGTGCGTCCTCGGAGCCTCCTGCTCCCGAAATGCAGCCTCTGGGCTCGCCTCCCTTCCTCCTCACCGCCGTTTTCTGCTCGTGCAGCATGGGGAGAAACAACACCAAGCCCATGTGCGCGATGCTCGGAGCACACAGAACCAGCCGGAGCTGAGGGTATAAAATTACAAATCCAACAGCAGCATTTTTGTTATTTCCCCGACCCCCTACCCCCCCTTCCCCCCCCCCCAAGCCACCGCTGATGAGAAATTAAGGATCGGTTTGAAACGAATCCTCGGCTCAGACCTTCCCCACGAGCCGAGGGGGGGCTCCTCGGCACGTTGCAGCCTCAGAGCGAAACGTGGCCCCCGCCGCCCCGGGCCCCGCACTCTGCTCGGGGAGGATCGATTTCAGAGCACATCCCAACGGGTCGCTCCCTTTTTATGGCACGCCGCTCTCGTGCGGGATCCCGAGTTTCCTACACGACGCCTTCAGTTATTGGGGAGGGGGGTTAACCACTGTAACGAATGGTTAATTACAAGCAGTCGCCCGGGCGGTTGCTGGTATTTCCAGCTGATGAGGAGAGCTGCGTGATCCCAGCCTGCAAACTGGGAGGAAAAAGCTGGGGAGGAAGGAACCAGCCCGGCACACGAGGCCCCGTGCGTGGAGGAGCCGGAGCAGGGCACGACGCCGAGGGGCTGTCGGGGTGCAGGGTGCCCACACTGCCCAGCCCTGAAAGGGGGCAGCCCTGTGGGGCCCCCCCAGCCCGCTCAAACCCCCAGGACCCCGAGCAGGGACCCCAGCCCCAGCCCCAGAGCTCCTCGCCCCCCTCGGCCGCTCTGTGCCCCCCAGCTGGGGGAGCGCACTGCAGCCCCGAGCAGCCAGATCCAGCCCCAGAAGCTCCCTTTCTGACAAAGGGCAGGAGGAATCCTCCCCCGGTTTTGGGGAAGGGGGAGGATGAGCACAGTTTCCCATATGGCCTCATTTAGGGCAATTTCTTTCAATTGCTAAAAGCATAAACTCCACCTATTGAGCCCGTAGATTTATATGGAACAGCTGAAGGATCCCGCGAAGCGCTTTGTGGGCTGGGTGGGGAGGCTCCCACCTTCCAGAAAGGTTTGCAGAGAATTTTGTGTTGGTGTTTTTTTGTTTTTTTTTTTTGTTTGTTTGTTTTGTTTTTTTGTTGTTTTTTCAAAAAGCAAACTCATTTTTTGCATTTTTTTTTTTTTAAGAGGGAGATATTGATAACACGGGAGTTAGAAAGAGCCTCATAACTCACAATAAACCCTTGTCCATTCCCTTCTATTGACTCCATGTAAACACGGTAAATGAAAGGCCTTCGGTGACACTTAATCCCTCACCCCCCCCAGCTCCCCCCTGCCCCCAGCCCGCCCGGGGAGGGGGGCGCTGCTTTTTTTCTCACAGCTTGCTGCTTTACCGAGCCCCTCCTCTGCTATCTAATTCATCATTAACACCCTGACACTAAACTAAATAAATGCCGCGCCCCCCCGGTGCCCCCCAGCACCTTGCTCCGTGCCCACGGGTTTTCTCCTGCAGCTTTTGGGCATGGAAGAGCCCCAAAAGTGGGGACTCAGCTCCCCTCAGAGCCCACTCCCCAGCAAGGCCTGTGCTGGTCCCAGCAGATAATTAACGTTGTTGTTAAATTACCTTCTTTAACAGATAATAATAATAATAGCAGGGTCATTGGCTGTGATTAGGCCACCGCAGGCTCCCCTTTGCGTCCTGCCCCGCGTTGCTCCCACAGTTCTGTCGGGGCTGGGGGCTCCGGACCTCGCCTTTGGGGATTTTACGTTTTTTAATGGGAGTCATTTTGACTTCGCCTCCTTTCCTCCATGCCAGAAGGGGGACTGAAGAAAGGCTGCAAATCGGTTTCAAATGCCGAGCGTGTGATTTGCATAACCATTTTCTGGTGTAATCTGGATGTCTGAGATTTTTAAGGGCAGGGAAGGTTTTTACCTGGCCTCCTGCAGAAGCGAAGGCATGAGACGGTTTTGTGGCAATCGAATAATGCACAGTTATTAATCAGAACTAATGAGGTCCTGACTGGGGGTGCCATTCGTTTCTCTTTCCATTTCTCTCGGTTTGGAAAGATAATCGGGCAGATTTCTGCCCTGGAGAGAGCCGGATCGCTGCTCCCTGGGCTGGCATCTCTGCCCTCCCGGTCACGTCCCCAAGGCCCTTCCCAAACCGCTGCACAGGTACAAGTCCCTCGTGCTGCTCCTCCTTGTTCTGCTTCTTGTGTTTGGGTCTAAACCTACCACCCCTGCTCTGATGAGCCCTCTCAGTCCGCAGCCGTTTGTCTTTGCCAAAGAATTAAAAATAAATCTGAAGTGCTCCTTCCGAGAGGGGCACGAGCTCCTGAGGCCCTCAAAATAGAAACACACGGACGGGGAACGGTCCCTGCGTCCTCGCCTCTGGCCTACAAATTAGATGGAAGTCGCTATTGATTTCTGATTAAATGTTTAGGAAAAACGTTCCGTGGGGGCAAAATTTGTCCGGAGGAGCCCCGTGCTGCGGAGCCAAGCACACGTGCGTGCAGGCCACCCACCCACCCACGTGCTGGCACGCAGGGCGGACACACGCACGGCACCGCGTGCAGCCGGTGCCTGAGCCCACGCGGGTGCGAGGCCGGGGGCCGGTTCGTGCACGCGGGCGTGCGGAGGCGTGAGCTTCGGCAGGGCGCGTAAATAAACACACGCAGCCAGATGTGCACGGCCACACGGCCACGGCTATAAATAGAGCAGCGGCACGCGCGCCCTCCGCAAGGCGCCCACCCTCCGTGGGTGCACACACGTGCACGAGCACACACACACACACACACACACACACACACACATGTGCACCCCGGGTGTGCAAGCACACGGCCCCCCCAGAGCGAGATCTCACCCCCAGCTCCCGCACACGTGGGCACGCGCCGGCCACCCACCCGCCCCCTTGCACGCACACACGCACAAACAGGGCCGAGTGGCAGGCGGTTCTGTAAAAAACGTATTTATTTCTCAGCCTAGATTCCATATTGCACGCAGGAATTAACACTTTCATCGTCATATACTTACAACAACTTCAAATAAATAAAGGTACAGGAAATCTAAACAGAAAACCCAAGACAAGGCTGGAAAAGGCGACAGCTCTCTCCTCCCCGCGGCGGACGTTTTGGACACGTGTTCCAGGCCGGGGCGCAGGGAAAGGCGGTGGCGGCAGCTGGATGTGCCCAGCCTGGGCTGGGGGCTCGCAGCCCCCTGGGGCCTGATGCCAGCGGGGACCCGTGGAAGGGGACCGGCTCCGCGCCCCACTCGCAGCAACCCCACAAAGAAATCAGCCCTGGAGCCGGGGCCCAGAGGAGAAGCACCCATGACATGACATTTTTAAACCCACTGGACGGGGACGGAGGGATGTGAGTTTTTAATCCAGCAACGCAAAGCAAGAGCAAAGGTCCCTGAAACCCCCAGCCCCTAAAAAAAAAAACCCTTACAAACCGTGATTACAAAGCACCACACCGTATCCAAGCTGAGATTTTCCTGAGTCTAAAGCTTGCTGCATTTTTAAAAGCAGCACCCTTTATAAAAGTTTTCTTTATTTTTTACAAGAAGATACTTTCCGTTTTCTCCTAACTAGACAAACATTTTTTATGAAACAAAAATAAAAAATAATAAAAAAAAAAAAACAGGTTTTGTTTCTCTTGCACCCGTTTGGAAATAAAGCAATCTCACTAACGTCACTATAAAGGTGCCTTTATACCCTTTATACCGTCCTGGCAATGCAAGTTGAATTTTTGCTCAAAACCAGAACTCGTTTGTTACACTCAAAGCGTCCCCTTCTCCTGGCTCATTGTTTTGTACAGAGGTATTGCTTCTTCCAACAAACTACTGCTCGGGCTTCTCATTTTTGAAGTCCAAACCAGGCTATTTCAGGTAACAATTTGGGTTTTCCTTTTTTTTTTTTTGTTTCCTTTTTTTTTTTTTTTTTTTTTCAGTTTACTTTCGATGCATTGCCACTCCCCTCTCCAGCCTCTTACTGGGGGATTGCTGGGAAGATTATTTTTATGGATCGCTCAATTTCTTTGAAACATTTAGAAACAAACAGGGGGAATTATTATTGTTAATTTCTGCTGTGAACCGGATGTTTCTGCTGCTTGAGGAGCCATTCAAGGTGTGTTTGTGTGGAAAGTTTTGAGGTATCTTTGTATTGTATTCACAGCCCTGCTACAACCCCCTTGCATTATATACAGATGTACACAGCTACACACGCTCGTACTTACGTGTGCGAGCAGAGAAATGTGTACGTGCACCGTGCACGCACAGGCCGTGTGTTACCAGCCGGGCTCCCACGCACCCCCGTGTACAAATGCACACATCCACGGAGAGAAATGTCCGTGGGCCTGCGCCCGGGGTGGTGGCTGCTGCCGCTGCCCCGCGCGGCTTGAGGTGATTTCATCCCGCAGAGAAATTCCTGAGTTCTTTGCGCGCCCCTGCCCGCGGCAGCCGGAGCTGCGGATTCCGGTTGCGGCTGCGTTTTGCTTTTTGCTTTTCGCTTTTTGCATTTTGCTTTTCGCTTTTTGCATTTGGTTTTCGAATTTTGCTTTTTGCTTTTCGCTTTTTGCCTTTTATTTTTTGCTTTTCGCTTTTTGCATTTTTTTATTTATTTTTTTTGCTTTTTTTTTTTTTTTTGCTCTTCGCTTTTTGCTCGGTAATTCCTGCGCGCTCGCCGGCGGCGCGGAGAGCTGGGGCCGGGGCTTTGCAGCCCGCAGCCCCGCGCCGCCTTTGTGCGGCTCCTCCCGCGGGCACGGCCCCGCACGGCCCCGCACGGCCCCGCACCGCCGCCCCGGCCCCGCGTCCCTTTCGTTTCTCCCGGCACACGCGGTGCTAGCGCGGGCCGGGCTGGAAGGCGACGGGCTCGGCTCGGCTCGGCCCGGCTCGGCTCGGGCCCGGTGCTCCCCGAAAGCTCTCGGGGACACCGGGGACCCCCCCGCGGCTGCGGCCGAAGCCTGCCCGGCCCCGGGCCGCGGCGATTTCGGCCCCGCCGCTGCTCCGGGCGGCGGGCTGAAGTCAACAAAAACCGCAGTTAACCAAAAACCCGCTGCAAACCCAAGTCAAACAAACACCGCTTTTAGCAACAATTCACCAGCTCCAAGAAAAACATCGCTTAATAGATACAAAATACGTTTGACCTTAAAAATGCCATTTTTTTTACCCGCTGGTGGAATTAAACCAAAAAAATCAAAATCAGCCGTGGCAGACGGGAATATTTTCTTTGAATCCTGCGATGATTTCCCTTCCCCTTCCCTCTCCCTTCCCTTTCCGTGGGACGAGGAGGCCGCTGCGGAGGGCCGGGGGATTGCTCCCAGCGGGAGGGGGGCAGCGGGGGAGGGAACGGCGGCCCCGGGCCGGGCCGAAACGCGCTGCGGGATCCCGGCCGCGCCCGCCCGGCCGCGAGCTGCGAACATTTTCCGTTGAAAAGAAGGGGGAAAACCCACCCCCGCTCCCCCGAGCCGCAGCAGCTTTGGTTTGCCTAACGTCTCCGGAACGAGCAGGCTTCAGAGGGCCCGGCGGGCTTTGATGCCAAAGCGGGGTGGAAATCACATCAGAAATAGTCAAAAGAGCCAGTTACAAAGACAGTGGTTTGCAAGAAAAGTTAAACTGGGATATGATTTCCTCTGCAGAGAGGAGAGACATTCCCCCCACATTCTTCCCCACATTCCACTTCGGAGCTCGGGAGAGATCAAATTGTCCATCTGTACTCTATTGCTAATGCTCCTGGATCCTATTTCTTGTGCCCGTAAAGCTTTTACAGGCCTGCTACCTTTAGGCTAGCGCAGTTAGGGTTATTATCCAGCAAACAACCCACTTTTTTTTTTTTTTTTTAATATACATGCAGCAGTTTCAGATAACTTCCTCTCAAAGCCTCCTGTTTTCTTTTAGCAAACAGAATTTCCTGGTCTTTTTAAAGTTTGTGTTTTCTTCCTGTCTCGTAAGTAGACAGAAAACATTACATTGCTATTAATATAGTTATTTGCAATAGCTGCTCCCAATTTCGCCGGGATTGACTCGGGCCGAAAAGGAGTGTTTATGCTGCATGACATCATTATTTCTCTCTGCGTGTGATTATTATTACTTTAATCCACTGCATTTATGGAGGCAAAGGGAGAAATCGGCTCTATTCTTTCCTCGTTTCAGCGGTTTTTGGCTTCCGGGGGTGGGGAGCGGAGCGCGGCCAGGGCGGGGAAGGGGCGACGCTGCCGGCCGGGGCGAGCTCGGCCCGGGGGGACCCCCCCGCGCCCCCACCTGGCGCCGCGCCCCCGCCCCAAGCTCGGCGCTGGGACAAAAGCGGAGAGCCCGGGGGCGAGGGGTCGGCGCCCCCCGGTCCGAGTGCTCCTTCCAGCATCGTGAAACCGGCGCACGGGGGGGACCGAAACCTCAGCCCCAGCCCGAGCGGGGAGCCCCCGCCCGGCCCCCGCACCCGCTCACGGCCCCGCACCCGCCCCGGGCCCCCCTCGCCGGCAGAGCCCGGCCCGGCCGCCCCCGGGGCTCAGCATCTCGGGGAGGCCCCGCGACCCCCACCCGGCCCCGCGCCCCCCGCCCGGCCCCGGCCCCGGCCCCCGCCCGCCCTGCGGCTCGCATCTGTTGCGTGTAAACCTTTCCTCCGGGCCGTCCGCGGTCCTTAGAGATCCTCCAAGCTATAGCCCCGGAATTTGAGGCTGGGGGGCACCGGGATGGCGTTGCCCCCCAGGTGCCAGCTCCACAGCGGGTGAGTTTTGGAGAGGGCCCAGGAGTTTTTGACCCCCAGGGAGGAGGCAGGACACAGGTCCCCATCTTCCCCCACGACCAGGGAGGGAATACAGGGGAAGTTGCCCATGAGGCTGAAGGAATTCCGAGGCGGGGTTGGCCCGGCGCTGCCGAGGCGTTTGCAATGAGTGTTTCCCTTTTTGGCATTCCTCCTTTGAGTCTTTTGTGGCCTCCCTTTAGAGGAGCTCTGTTGCCTTTCTGCCTCAGCGCCTCTGGCAAGGCGTCTGCGCTTGGCATTCCTTTCCGAGCCATTGCCTTTCAAAGCTTTGTTTGACAAGGTGCTGGGGCTCTCTGCTCTTTTGGAGCCGGGGGATTTGAGCTCTGCAGCTTTGCAGGGCTCCGTCCTCCCTCCGTGGCGCAAACTTTTCCCGTCCACGTTGAACCCCTTGGCGTAACACCACAGCTTGGACTGCCGGATGAGCCTGTCAAAGTGCTCCCGCCGGGGCTCCCCCGCTTCCCCGGGGGGCGCCGGGCCGAGGCTCCCCGCCAGCTCCGGGGCCGGGGGCTGCGGGGCCGAGCCCGGGGCCGGCTCTTGGGAAGCCGCTCGGCCGGCTAAAGCTTCGCTCTGCCTCTCTGCTTGGTCACTGGGGCCTAACGAGGCTCTATTGTTCGAGGCATCTTTGTGCAAATCCTTCCCTTTGGCGCAGGGCTCTGCGTCCCCAAAGCCGCCCTCCTTTTGTTGCGGGTCCCCCCCAGGGGTGCTGCTCGGGGAGGGAGGGGGAGAGGAGGAGGAGGAAGAGGAGGAGGAGGAGGAAGAGGAGGAGGAAGAGGAGGAGGAGGAAGGGGAGGCCTCCTGCTTTGCGTACAGCTCCGGCTGCGGCTGGGCCCCCGAGCCCAGGGCTGGAGCCGGGCTCAAACTTTCCGAAGTTGATGCTCGCAAAGTCCTGGCCCAGAGCTGCTGCGAGAGGAAGAGGAGGTCGGGGTCGGGGCGCAGCGCCTTGCCCGAGCCCGGGGGGGGCTCCGCGGGGCGCTCGTCGCCGAGGGGCTCCCGGGGGGGCTGCGGCTGGAAGCGGGGCAGAGCCGCCTGCCTGTACCGGGTGCTCTGCACCGAGTCCCCGCTGCACAGCGAGCTGCTCTCCGACTCCGAGGAGCTGCCCTCCTCGCTGCTGCACGACGTGTCCCCTTCCTCCTCCTCCTCCTCTTCCTCCTCCTCCTCCTCCTCCGACGAGTCGCTGGAGGTGGCGGGGCTGGACCCGCCGAAGTCCAGGCTGGAGTCCGAGTCGCTGGAGTAGCCGGCGGAGGTGCCCTGCCGCTTGGAGCCGGGGAAAGCGGACGAGCGGCCTTTCCTTGCGCCCCCGGGACCCTTCTCGGCCGGGAAGAGCCCCTTGGCGCAGCAGGGACCCCGCTTACGCCGGCCCGGCTCGGCGAGCGCCGCGGGGTGCGCGGCGGGGTGCGCGGCCGCGGGGTGCAGCAGCGCCAGGTCGCGGGGGTAGGCGCCCAGCACGCCGCCGAAGAGCCCGGCGCGCTCCGGGAGCCCGCAGCCCCGGCGGCCCCGGGGGGCCCTCTCGAGGCCGGGGAAGGGCCGGTGGTGGAACGGCTGCGGGAGCAGCGCCGCCGGCGCCGAGCGCGCTTTGGCCAAGGCCGGGGGCAGCTTGGGGCGCCCGGGGGCCGGGGGCGCGCAGCAGGCGCCGGCTCGGCAGGGCGGCAGCAGCTGGGGCCGGGGGCAGGCGAAGAGCTCCCCGGGGTCCGGCAGCAGCAGCTGCTCCCTCCGCTTGCTCTTCCTTTTCCTCTTCCTCCTCCTGGGGCTGAGGCTCTTGCAGGAGGTGCAGAGAGCCTCCAGGTCCGCCTTGGATATGAGCGAGCATTTCACCGCGCGGGTGGGCACCGAGTGGATGGCTTTGAGGGTCCGGAGCTCCTTGAGATCGCAGCGTCGGCTCTTGATCTTTAAGGTTTCCATCTTCTTGCTGATGGTGGTCCTGGGGATATCCTTAAACAGGTCGCTGAGGACCTGGGCCAAGGCAAACATCTGGGTGCCATTGATCTGTAAGTATCCCAAGTTTATCCCTTCGATTTCTTGATAGCCGGCATGAAAATCCCCCGGCCTGGCTTCCCCATTGTAATCCATGGTGGCTGGAACAATTCCGAAGGTCCCTTCGCAGGTCAGGAACATTTTGCAAGGAGCGTTTACTTTGTCTCTTTCAAAGGGGGCATTGAAAATAAGGACATATTTGTTTCCACTCCCTGATCACACATCCCTACCCCTCCGGAGAGGTGGGGGAGGGGGGAGGGGAGGAAAAAAAAGAAAAAAAAAAAAAAGAAAAAAAAAGCCAAAGCAGCCGATCACCCCTTCAAACGCTCCGGTCAATGGCTCGCAACATCTTCCAAACACCCCGTTCCTCCCGGGCTGGGGCTCGACTCCTCGTCTTCCCCCTCCCCGGCAGAAAAAAAAAAAAAAAAAAAAAAAAAAAAGGAAAAAAGGGAAAAAAAAAAAAAAAAAGAAGTCAAACATCTCGCATCCTCCGGGCTCCCCCCAGCCAGGTCCCACCCCGCGGCCGCGCACCCCACCTTCCCCTCCGAAAATAACCCCCGGGGGGCGACTGGGGGGGGGGGAAAGTGGGGGGGGGAGCAACAAGCGCAGCCCCCCCCGCTCCGTTGCGCGAAGCCCCTGAGATGCTTGAGCAAACAAAGCTACCGGCGCGGGGGGGGCGGCAGAAGCGGCAGCGGCGGGGCCGCGGCGAGGCGGGGGAGCCCCGGGGCTCCGTGGCGCTCCCACCTTGGCCGGGCTCCGCTCCCGCGGCCCCGCCGCCGCGGCCGCTTCATCCTGGGAACACCCCGCGGAGCCGGGCCCGCGGCCCGCGCGCTGATTGGGCAGCGGCGCGCCGTGACGTCACGGCCCCCCAACATTTCACACGCACACCCCCGCGCAGCGCAAGCCCCGCGCAAGCCCCGCGCAAGCCCCGGCACCGCGCGAACCCCGCGCAAGCCCCGCACCGCGCCCCCCCCCCCCCCCGCACCCCCTTCCCCCAGCCCAGGGCAGTCCCACACAATAGCCACCGAGATTTTCTTTTAAGAAAAAAAAAAAATTAAAATGGGGAAAAAAAAAAAAAAAGCACAAAACGCTGCGTTTTCGAGGTAGTTTCAGGCTCAGCTCGCCCGGAGCCTCTGTTTGTTCGGGCTGGGGCATTCCGGCTCGGCTGCAGGGAGGTTGCTGCGCTTTCCAAAAATCTCCCCGAATTCCTCTGGGATGGGTGTGTGTGCGTGCACGTATATATTTAATAAACCGTGAAAGGTTTTACTCTGAGCGAGTTGTTCAAAACGATTGACTCTGCAACAATTCATCGTGCAACCCGGAGTGGAATGCTTATTAATTGCCAATTACTGTATTTATGATCTGGAATGAGCACAGGACTGGAGCTTAGAATCAACAATAACATCGGCAACAGTGCAAATAAAAGCAATGCAAAGATACTCGTATTCCTTTTTACTCACACGCTTGCCTTATTCACTTTTCATCTTTTTCTTCCAAACGTTCTCTTAAAAAAAAAAAAAAAAAAAAGAAAGAAAAAAGAAAGAAAACGAAAAAGAAAAAAAGAGAGGGATAAAAAAAAAGGAAATTCATTTGCATGCCTTTGTGCGCTGCTTAACTTTATTTCAAACTTCCCAAGACTTCTTCGGCATTTGGTAGCTCGCTCCTGCCTTACAAACCAGACGCCGTTTTCCCAAAAGGAGGATTGCAGATTTCTGTCTCCAAGGGAGGGGGAAAAAAACCCACCCTCACCCAGCCCGGAGCTCCATTGTCCCGTCCCTTCTATTTCTTTATAAACCTGGAGCTACTTGAGCGAAGGGCGTGCAGCCGCGGAGGCTGGACCGAGTGATTTTAACTCTCTGCTCAGGAGGCTAATTTTGGGGAAACAGTTACCTCGGAAACCTTTTTGGGGGAAGGGAGGCTGCAGCTCTGCAGCGCATGCTGTTCCCTTTTAAGCTTCGTCTGTCTCCCACATGAAAAGTTGCTTTTAGTCTTCCTCTGCTTTTTTGTGGTTCAAATGGCAAAATCTGAGTAATTTGATAATAATAATTTGTTAAACTATATGTACAATCAACCACAAATGATCCCGATTTAGAAACAATCCCATAGGAGGAGGAGGAGGAAGCACATTCCTGAGTACGTGTGTAAAAAAAATTAAAATAACTCCAACATTGCCTTTAATTTGGGAGCGGAGATCACCTGATTTGCATTTACCTTCTCGCCGATAGACGAGAGGCAAGCCTCACGCACAGGCGAGCCGATGCCGTATCGATCCTGCTGCAGAAGAAATCAATGGCAGGATTTTTCCCCTTCCTAGCACACATGTGCGCACACACCCCGCAAACTCGTGGCCTTGCTGAGAAAAGAAAATGCCACATTCTCCAGATCTGGCTGCGTTAAACCAGCACATTTCACCCTCGTTTTCCACAGGCAGAGAGTTTCCTGTGAGTAAAGGTCTGCCGTCCAACACAAACACGAAATTCCTCTTTGTTTGGGCAGAGGGGAGGGGGGAGAGTTTGCATCGCGCTGGACGGAACGTGGCCGGTCCGGGGATCCTGCAGCTGGCTGCTGCAGAGGGGCTGCTGTCGGCGCAGCTCGCTGCGAGGGACCAGGAGAAGTCCTGCTCGCAGCCAGACTGGAGTTTCCCTTTGCAAATAAGAAGGGAGATCCTGGGTATTTTTGTTTCCACAGAAAGCCAGAGCCATTTTACCTATAGGCTGAGCACTGCTCCGTGCCAGACTGGAGGAGGGGAGCGTGGGGTGGAGGGAAGGAGCTGGCATGTAATATCCCTGTCCGATGCGGCTGATGCAGCCGCGGGGTTTACGAGGGGCTCTTGTAAAGAAAATACAAGTTGGAGCAGCGCAATAAACTGCTTCTGACCGCTCGTAGGGCTTTAGAGAGGACACAGAGACCCCTGATCGCAAGCCAGGAGGAAACAGGGCTCACAAGCCACGCACAGGCAAATGTATGGATACGTCATTTCCCATTAAATCTCCGTCAATAGAAACCCAGATTGACAATATTTTGGCTATGAATAAAGTTCGGTATGGAATATGTGTGCGTGTGCGCGGGCTGATGTCTCTATACAGACACAGACAGCTCGACGTGGGACACGCAGACCCTGCAAACCCACCCATCCGCAGCCGTGGGCTGGGTGCTCACAGCAGGGCCGTGGTTTGGAGGCGCACGGGTTTCAGTGGCCCCGTAACAGCTCCGTGTAACCCCATAAATGTCCCTTGCTGCCCCAGCCCCAGGTCACTTACTGTACGCATAACGAGCCCGTTGGCCCTTGCCTTATCACCCTCACTGCTGCTTTATGATTTTGTAGAGGAGCTGGAGCTGTGAGGGGTGTGACAGCTTTTACACGTACCTATGTGCATCGCTGCGGTCGGGGCAGGCCTGCTGTGGAAGTGGACACAGGAGGAGCTGCAGGTCTTGGGGTGGGCAGGGGGGGCTCAGCCCAAGGCAGAGGACAACCACCCGGGGGTCACCATGGTGCTGCCACCCGTGAGGCCCTGGCAGGTTTTTGGCTTATACCTGTCGGTTGGCTGGCAGTTTCTGCAGGAAGCAATCAAAATTACCAGGTTTTGGGGATATTCCCATTTCCCAGGATCCTGGCAGCACAGGGTGTGGGGCAGCACCCCCCCACCTCCCAGCCTTTTCCCTTCCCCTCGGCAGAGGGGTGTTGGAGCTGGGGTACGTGGGCAGTTCGGAGCAAAATAAAAGGAGGGGGAGCCTCTCGGGCTACCTTTACTGCTGGGGGGCCAGCTTGGTTGGAAAGCAGACCCCCAAGCAATGCCCCAAGCAGGTCTAGCTGTGGACGAGGTGCGATTTTGCCTGGTATTGAAGTTCACACATGAAGACAGGGTACGGGTGGCCAGCAGGCAAGAAGGAGACCAATCCTTCTTGCTGGGCACTGGGCACTGGGCACCAGGCAGTGGGCATCAGCACCTGGGCATCAGCACTGGCTCTGTGGGCTTCAGGTGGGATGGATCCATCCTGCACAGCTCCATGGAGGCTCCGCACCTCCCTCCCCAGCAGTGCTGAGGCTCTCAGTTTGTAGGAGGCTGCAAACACCTCCCTCGGGCAGAGCGAGCAGCTGGGGCCCGCAGCTGGCAGCTTCCTCAGCACCTCGCTTGCTGTTTGACCTGGAGCGAGGGTGCCGGTGGGAATCAAAGGCTGGGGCAGGAAAAGAAAAAAAACAAAAACCCCCAAGAAAACTCCAGATAGGCTTGGGCTGACCCTAGGAGGAAGCATTTTGGGGCAGAGCTCCCGGTATGTCAGGTCTCTCAGCACGGGTCAGGCTGTGGCAACAAACGGCCCGTTTGGGTCTGCTCACACTGTCCAGAGCTCACCTGGGGGTTTCCCAAGTTCACCAGCCTTCCTGGAGAGCCCATCGAGCAAGCAAGGGGGGAGATGTGTGTGAAGGGCAGGTGGAAAAGGAAAGGGACAGTGCTGGGGGGAGCTGGGGTGAGGGCAGGGGAAAGCACAGAGGAGCTTTCATGGAGCAGGCAGCACTTAGTAAGGAGCTATGTCCGATTTACCACAGAAAAGGTGATTAGTATTGGTCCCATTTAATTATGTCAATTGCACAGAATCATTTTATTATCTTTTTTTTTTTTTTTTTTTTTTTTTTTTTTTTTTTTCTGGTGGGAAACAAATTCCAGAAAATGAGGTGGCAAAAATGGTGCCAAGATCGCTCCACGCAGAGGTCCCCACAGCAAGGGACAGCCTGAGCGTGCCCCTGTGCAGGGCAGGCACCCCTCAGAAAGCACCCACGCGGCTGGTTCCATCCCGAAACCCTCACGGCGAGGCTGCATCTCCCTGCTGGAGGGCAGCAAGGGCCTCGTGCTCCCAGTGGGACACTCCACACCTCTGGGGGGGATCATGGAGAAAGCCTTTGGCTCGGGTACGAAGGGGGGCTGCAAGGAAAATATTGCAATTTTTATTTTTATTTTTTTAATACATGTATTTCGAATGGCTTTAGAAGACCCAGAGGCAGCCCACCACGTCTGCAGGGAGCTGAAAGCAGCCTCAGCACCAGGCACTGCCTAAGACCCGTAATATTTTGATCAGAGGCAGTTACTCCTGACAGGCACTTAAACTGTCCGGGATGAAAATATTTCTACAAATCACTTGGTGCACTGGCTTTTTAAACGTCTCTGTAACATTTTACAGGCTACAGGAGGGAGCCAGAGAAGCAGATCCAAACGCCACCAGCCCAGCCCGGCCTGCAGGACAGATGGACGGACAGACAGACAGCCAGGCCCGAGTGAAAACGCCGCCTTGGCTTGGGGCCGTGGTGGCTCTGCGGCTGCCTCCCTTCCCCAGAACCCAGCTCCGTGCTGCCAGCAGCCAGGGGTTGCAAAAATGCTCTCAGATGCACTCAGGGGCAGAGATATTCCCTCGCGTTCCCATGGGACAGTTATTTTTCAGGATTTCTCCCCTTAGAAAGTTTCCTCTCCATGAGCAGTTTGTGATTCGTATTGAACCCAACCACCAAAAACGTTTCTCGGCTCTTCATCTAAACCTCAAGCTCATTGCATCATCATTTACTAGTATTTTAATGAATCCTGCTGTTAATAAAAGAATATGTGAATTTAGCCATTTATTTATTTTCATGCTTATAAGAGGCTTCGGGAAAACCAGTGGCTGGAGAGAAGGGCAGAGCACAAACCTTCGCAGCGCTCTGTATTTGTATGCAACGAGTTCGTATAATTTGCAGCGAATTTGTGCTATGATGCACGGGGCATTATTAGTAGATGTTTGGTTCTTTGGGGATTTTTCCTTTAGGTACTACCCCGTGCAAACAAAAGCAGTATTTAGTGACAATTTATAAAGATGCAAATCCCGCTTCGCTCTCTTTTGTTTCAACATACAAAGACAGAAAAGTGTGCTTATTTTGAAAGTAGGCTCAGCTAGCTCTGTTGCAGGCTAGGGCTGTGTGCTGCTGTTGTTCCCTTTTCCTCTAAACAACATGTTTTTAGAAGGAAAAAAAAAAATGAAGAAAAAAAAATAAAAAGTACAAACTGATGAAAACTGGGGGATTTAAACCACCGGAGGGGCCTAGGGAGAGAAATAAATTGCGTCAGACCAAATGGTGCCACTGCAACGACATTTAAAACATTTAGAGAATTGCTCGGAGTAAAACCCACAGATTTACGTGCAAAGCGGGCAGGTCCCAGGAAGCCGCCCCGTGCCCGCAGAGGATGTGGGGCCACAGCGGAGTCGGGGCTGGAGGGGAGAAGGAACGAGTCGGTGGCTTTTTGGCGGCCGAGCCGTGTTTTCTCCCTGAGCTGCAGGGTTTTACTGGTGTGGGAGGAGGGTCCCAGCTCGGGGAATTAAAAATGCACCCATCTTTCCCCTTACTTTCACCATCCCAAGGGCACTCTTTCATACTTTGTGCTTTCCTTCTATCTTTCTTAATAAACTGTCTTTCAGCATCCTCTAACAAAGAAACCACATTTTCTCGAGAGCAGCTGAAGGAAATTATACAGTAATAAACACTGCCGCTTGAAAAAAAAATATGTTTGTTTGTTTTCCTAAGCAAATACAACTGAGCAGTTCCAAGAGGGTTCCTTCTCCTGCAGAAATCCCCGCCGAGAGGCGTGCAGGAGGGTGCTGGTGAGCTCGGCAGCTGCCGGGGGTGCGCCGGGAGGCTGGAGGGGGACAACCTCCATTTTCCTGCTGCCTCTCACAAGCTATTTTTTTCCCGACGATTTCAAAGATGATTTTTGTGACAGCTGAGTGTGCGCCTTGCGAAGACAAAACAAGGCAAGAGCAACAACAAACAACACCAAAAACCAAGCAGACTTCTAAGAGAGAGGGACAGCGAGTTTGTAGATCGAAGATTTCATGCCTCGATCTTAAAGCCAGCAGAGAATTTGCATTATTCTTCTGTCGCCTTTTGATGTTTCCCATATTACATTGTGATTTAGTTGTTTCTGCCCTTCTTGTTTAATCCAGTCTCTTGTCTCATTTCACATGGAACAATTATTAATAAAAAAAAAAAAAAAAGAAAAAAAAAGAAAGCAGATTATTAAATAATAAACCCCGAACATTTTCTCTGTAGCAAATTTCAAGCAAAGGAATCTTAGTTCTTGCTTTGCTTCTGTGTTTTTTTCCCTTTAAATCCAACCTGGATAAACCAGGAAAAGTCTCATTATGTCTAACCTACTGATTTACTACTAACGCATGATTGTGTTCACTAGTTCAGGTTAGAATTAAAAGAATGCTGGAAAATATTTTTGTTGCTAAGATAAGCTTAAACCAAAACTATTCCTCACCGTTCAATACGTGCTGGTATCAGTAGAAATTAGAGGCAATGCAAGGCAAGAAACCCACGATCTTTCAGTCCTTTTAGAAAACAGAGAATGGTCTTAGATATTGCCTTTTCTCTCAAAGAGCATTTTATATTCTTTGAAAAAAAAAAAAACATTTATCAATTCTTATTTAAATTGCACAGCAAACTCATACCTACAACACTTCTTCCTAAGCCTTTAAACGTTATATATTAAAGCAATTATGATTTAAGATTCCTCCGTGAAAGACAAATAGTCTTGGAGCATTTTTAAACTGTCTAAAGTTTCATGTTGTCAAACTTTAAAAGGAAAAACTTTTTTTTACCTTTTACAAAGTATTTCTCCTGCCTGTTATTGATTGACAAGTTTATTATTATTATGAATGGATTCTCCCATTTCCCAGTCCTCTTCAAGGCCTGATGTGGATTGAGAGCCTGACCAGTTGCTTATTGACCCATGATGGCTATACAATGACCCTGCTGCCCCCAGCGTGACCCTGGGACCCCCGAAGGACCCAGCCCAACAGAACAGGGCTCAGATATGCAAAGTTGGAGCTTTATGGGGCTTGGGGAGGGGAGGCGTGATTGCAAGTGGGCGAGGGTTTCATTAACAAAAATGTGTTTATTGTAAATAAAAAGGCAAAGGGGTGTTTAAAGGAACATGTCCTGGAGGATTGCAGCTATCTTCTGTACGGGAAATGCTGGAAGTGCCGGAGCCCTCTTTGCAGCACCATGTGCCTAATTGGTGACAATAAAAGGGGAACGGCTGACACTCGCCCTGCTCAGTTTCCCCGCTGCCTGGGTGATACTCGGTAAGTGTTGTTTGGTTTCAGAAAGTTACCGAGTTTGCTCAGGTTTGAAATCACAACCTCCTTTAAGGACGCAAACAGAAAATCAGTGAAAATGCCCAGTTGCACCCCGGTTCTTTCCCCTTCTCTCTCTCCGTGCATCCATGTGTGCGGGTGTCTGCGTACGGCTGAACTGGGAAGCTGCAGCCTCGTTTCGTGCCGAGGTCTGGTCACCGTACAATGAGAGGAAGCGAGGCCTTTAAAATGTAATCAGCGGGGATGAATGAAATAAAAAAGGTTAGAGTGGACATCAGCATTAATATTCACCCTTTGTCTTTTCACGCACTACGTGAGGAAATGAAGGGGAAAGGCATCTCCTCCTACCCTTGAAAAACTGCTTCTCTGGCTCGTTACTGTACACGTTCCTGTGCGTGAGCTAATAATCATTTGTGAGAGGTGGTATGCAGCCCAGGGAGCATATGTTTTGTGAAACAGCATTTCGCTCCATTTCAGAAAGCAGGGGATCTGCTCTCCTCCCTCGCTCCTTCATTTAATGGAGATACAGTTGTTTAAATAATTTCCCTCTTCCCAAAACAAATGCAGGAGAATGAGAGCTCATTTTTTATCCTAATTGATGGATCACTGAAGACAAGCCTTTGAAGAAAACGGCTGTCAACAGTGGGAGATACCCGGAGCATCTGGGTTAGATAGGTATAAAGCAAAGAGCAACCTGCATTCTTTGCGGGGCTGGATGCTCTCGGATTATAAACTACTGCGATTGCTTTTGATTTCACCATAAAAACAACAGCAGCAGCAGCAAGTTGTTCTGACACTCTCAAAACATCTGGATTGTAAAGTTTGCTGGTTTCTGGCAACAGCAACAATAATAATAAAATCTCTCGCCGTATGGGCAGATCCCCAGGGTTTCGGCTCGACCCGGTCGAGATGTTTGTTCTGCTGTACGTGTGTGTGTGCACATCCCAAACGCTGCAAAGTGATGGGTGCGGGGGATAAGCACACCAGCCCTACGTCTCCAGAGATAAAACTTCGACCAATTTCTAATCACGTAAAGCAGGTAATAGGAGATAGGGGGATCGGCAGGGCACGTGTGTTGAAATATTTTGATGAATTTTGATGCAAATCTGGGGCTATGGAGAGGCTGGCACAAACCTGGCACACAGGAGGATGGAGTCACGTCCAACCCTGTGTTCTCACACGTCCTGGCTACACGGCTGCGCTCGGGTCTGTGCTGGCACAGACACACGGACGTGGACAGAGGTGTGGGGTGAAACGCTGACCCCCAGGTGCCCCCAGCCCCCTCAGGCGTTACCGAAATGTCCTCAACCTGCTCCATGCCCAGCACGACCTGGGGAGGAGCTGCTAGACCTGCTACCGAGCTGGGTCAAACCCTGGGATTTGTGATGGAAAAAGTTATTGAAAGGCTGCGAGTTGTTCTCAGGCGCGTTCTGCAAATTGCTCGTGTGCTCGGTGTGTGCGGGGGGGGGGGGTGGTGGTGGTGGTGGTTGGGGGCTCTGTTTGTCCTTATTTCATTTTATGGCTATTTTTTAACACCACTCTACCTCCAGCTGCCAAATGGCTCCGGGTTTTGGGGACGCTTGGAGGCGGAGGAAGGCTCCGAGCTGGCAGCAGCAGCCCAGGAGCCCCTCGCCTTCCCCCGAGCGGCCACCCCCGAGCCCCGCTCCCTGCGCACCGCCAGGCGGGGGGGCCCCTTCCCCTCCTCACCTCTTGGGGGGCGCCGGGGAGGGGGCTGCTGGCCCCCAGCAGAGCCAAGAAGAAGGCGAAAGCTCCGGCGCTGCCCGGCGCCCCTCGCACAGCCCCGCTCCCGGAGCGAGCGGGTGCCGGCCCCGGGAGGGGGGGGGCGGCGGTGGTCGAGGGGCTGAGCCTCGGGGGGGCCAAGGGGGCTGCGGCAGCCCGGGTGTGCTTCGAGGGGGCTCTGCCCACCCGGCCCCGCCGCTTCAATCGTCGTCCCGAGGAGGGAACGGAGCCCCCAGGGGGCTGGAATGGAGCCGTCGGGGGGCGAACGGAGCCCCCTGGGGGGGAACGGAGCCCCCAGCCCTGGCCACCGCCCCCCCGGGCAGCCGGGCCGGGGGGGAAACGCGAGCTGCTGGCGCCCCCCGGAGGCCTCCCGCCGCGGGTTGGCCGCAGGGCACGCGTTTGGGGGAAAAAAGGGCCTTTTTAGGCTCGTCCAGCAGAGGTCCCCGGCCGCCTTCCCACGAGCCCGGCCCCGGCTTGCCCGTGGGGAGCGGGACGGGGGGGGCGCGGCCGGTCCGTGCGGGGCCGCTCCGGGGCGCTGCCGCCCCCCCGGGCACTGGGTACGGCAGGGGCTAAATCCGGCAGACGGGCTGAGGGAAATGAACAGCAGGATGAATCAGAGCCGGGCTGAGTTAGAGCAGGGTTGGCACCGGTGGGATTCCGCGGCACGGCCCCAAAGGCAGCCACCTACAGCCCTGTGCCAAAGCACCCCGGGGTGGCCCTGCCCTCGGGTTTTGGCCCAGATTTTTGGCACGTGCAGAAAACACGCCGTTCGATCCTCCCAAATTGAATGGAAGAATAGTCGAGCATCGAGATCGACAGATCTCAATCGGGCTAAACAGATTTGTTCCAAATATTACTCATGAATTAGTCTGATTACTCATCAAACAGCAGCCTAATTCTGATCCCCCTAGCATCACCCAGAGGGAGCGCAGGTGCCTTTACACAGTGTTTTGGTGGTAAGCCTCAGACGTCAGATGTCAGAGTTTGGCTGGCTTTTATTTTCCAGGGAACAAGTGGTGACTCACCAGTGACTAAGTAACATGTTACAGCCTCAGAATTTCTGATGAGTAACAGGGTGTGTAAGATCTGACCCGATCTGTAACAGTCACTACATAGACACACGACGAAAAGGCTGATCTTAA